TATAATAATTATTTTTAACTTTCTGAAGTAATGTATTAATTTCTGATAGTACTACTAGTCGTTGAACAGTTTGTATTTGTCACGTCTATATTTTGTCAATTCTATTTAGGGCTAATTTTTCAATGTTTATATATATATAAACATTGAAAAATTTTATGATAAAAGTTACCTGGGGAATAATTATGATACTGTCGCGTCAGAATATTTGTACAAGTCAGGGATATCAACAATTTCAAAGAAACAAAATCAGCCTTTAATAAAGTGTGTGGAGTAAGTAATAATTTTGCATAGTCGTAAAATTTTGTTTCAACAAATATCATATGAAATTTAAGAACCCTGTTTTGTTTGCGTATTACAGAGGCGGGAATGCTCTTGGCTCGAAACATCGACAGGCTCGTCAGCAATTTGTCCACGGAGGGGTAGACCTGGACAGTTGCCAGTATGGCTTTCGTCAAGCGTTCTTTCATTCGTGATCGCTCTAGAATATCTGTCGTAGCCATATCACAAATTTGCACACTTCATGAAAAGTTGTGGGACGTTTTATAGAATAAGAGGCTTAAACTCATACTTAGCCCCCGATGGGAAACATTAAGTGCCGAACATGGACAAGGGATCAGGCGACTAGAGTTCTGGCTTTAGAAATGATGTCTCTCCTATGAGCAAAGTAGCACTACCAGTGGCTTTATATATCTTCAATGAGTTATGTTAGGGAGGCACAGAAATATCACCTAGGGTATTTTCCCTGCATGTGGTGTACCATCTTCTAGGTACCAATGGCGCGTATCAGAGTATACAGTGAGGTTATCTGCAGAATTTAGTACAGAGACCATCAGGTTTAGGCCCAGGCCCTCACACACATTGCCAATGTAGGCGATCTAAATGACATTTGTAGGTAGTCCTTTGGGTGGCGATCGCGCTGGTTAAGACCATTAATTAATGATATCCTGATATGAAGGATAGACCTGTCAGATAGAGTAGCAAAGCAGTTCAGCGAAAGTCGTAAAAGTAACTTCAGAGATGTATTATGTACTTTCATCTAAATATCCAGCCTCTGAGAGTTATGCATACATTATAAATAAAATAAATAATTATTTGATTTTATGTTAGTCTTCCTTCAAGAATTATACAAACAAATTGTAGGTTTTTATTTATATTATACATTTTATCATATCCTATAAATATACAAAAGTAAAATAAATTATAGCTTCGATGTATTGGTGTATTAGGCATTTACAAGTAGTTATTAAGTGTTTACTAATTAACTTACAACTATAAGTTTATAATAAATTTTAATTCCTTTGCCTTGTGTGACGAGATTCGGTCTATTTTGTATACTATAAGGCGGCTGATCACATAATGTCAAGTTATCAGCGCTGCCCACTGACACCAACACACAAACAATAAAGGAGTTGCAGGTGCAGCAATTTTAGAGGTCAGGTATTTACTTAAAGGTTGGGATCCGGGGATTGGGGATAAAGAGGGAGGATTGAGCCTTCGGTAATCACACTCACACGAAAACACAACCCAAGCATTGTTTCAACCCGATTTTCTATGAGGCCATGGTATAACTAAGGTCAACCCGGCGCATTTATGCATGGCTTTTCCAAATTTTTACTGTAAACACATTCCTAAAGTTCCTTAATTCCTATTTATGAGTTGAGTGCACATGTCATATGAAATAGGTGTAAAGTCCACAAGGCGTATAGATCGATACATTTTCCGTCACCTCGATTATTGTAGAACAGCCATAAATTGGTCGCTAGCATTCTACGTACCTGTTGAAGCTGGAAACTCAAAACGCGCGACGAAGTGCAATAAACCTTATGACTGAATTCACTGGCCAGTTATTTGTATGTAAATATTTGTCAAAGAAAAAACTAAAACGTGTAATTATTTACTTTAAAGAAAATATGAAAAACATTAACACAGCATGCATAAATCTATAACGTAATATTTTTAATTGAAAGCAATATTAATTGATACAGGTCATTTCCATTGAGAAATATTTCTCTCCTGTGTTATATTTCTATATGATTAAATTTTCAATAGGAAGGGAAATCTTGTTTTTCAAAAAGAAAGTTTTACAGAAAAAGTTTCGCTATACTTTTTCAAGATTTTTTTATGAATGTAGTGAATGCGCTTTCGTCTTGTTTATTTTATATGAAGTTAGTTTATTACAACTATTATATCTACGAAGATAAATGGAAGTTCCGTTCTAAATGTAAATATGATATTTGTACTTTTAGACTTTTTGGCTTTGCCTTAAATCAGTCTACTTTTTAGTAAACACATATAATGGGAATGACCTTCGTATGGACTGAAAGATTATCGTGATCTAATATACTAGAACAGATTAATATGTTAAAATGTAAAATAAAAACTGCTTCAGTATTTAAGAATAAGCAATGACACCAAAATTGGTAGTTATTTAAAAAAACCAAATACAATCATACTCTTTCATGTCACTGCTGTTTCTCAAGTTGAATGCACAAAATCACTGTGTTAATGCTTTTAAAAAAATAACAGGACACTTAAAATTCCTGGTGGTCTACATACAATGCAAAATTAAATATTACTTAAAAAGCGCTTTAAGCATTTTAAGGAATCATGAAAGTGATATATTCTATACCTTAAAAATGTACATAATGTATACATATTATACAGTGTGTTTTTATTATAAGGGTCACTAGGGAGCTACGCCAAATACTGTCATAAAATTTATCGTGCACACTTAAAGATTTAAATGTAAGACCACACGCTTTAATATATTCATTAACCATTTACAAAATGCCTGATGTGATTAACTGTACATGTATACGGCTCGCAATTAAACCCCATGTAAAAAGCTGTATGAACTAATCATTATGTTATCCATATTATGCAATGCGATGTCCGGTATATTATTAATATGATAAAAATTTATTAAAAATACCTTTTAAGTATAAGAATTCTTCAAGAAACACTCAACAAAGGCCGGTCGACTATTGCATGTGTGAAAAGATAATATTAAAATTCCTGTTAATTACTTCAGCGGATTATTGCATGATAATTAAATATTCATTGTAAGATTTGCCTTGATTCCAATATCCATGACTTAATTCTACGAGTATGTTGTATTAAGAAATTTTAATGTCATTCATGATTCCTTTACGTGCTGAATGAAAACTGTATGAACAGAATAGAAACATGGCATGAGAAGGATAAAACATCAAATAATTATTTAAAATAATACTATAGTACTTCTTTGCAAGCAATACCAAAATTCAAACCATATTTCCATTCATAATGCCTGGTACTACCGTAGAAAAAAAAACAAGCGTAAGAAGTTTTAATGAAACAGGTAACTGCATCAGACTCTAGACATTTCATTCTTATTTTGTTACAAAATTCGTTTATTCATATCGAACTTCGATTATTATATTGCATTTTATTCAATACAACGACTTATCTGAACTAACTTAGAAAGGCCCTACTAGTTTCAAGCCATAACGGGGCACTCATACTAGGCGTGCAAGCTCGAGTAACCAGATAGATTACACATTACCAACAACGCCCGTTACTCATTAATAAGAGTTTCGTCATAACTTTAAACTAGTAGTACTTTTCTTAGTTGCTTTACGGGGGGTAAGCCATTATTGACATTTATTTCTTTATTGATTTCTTACTATTTTTGGTTTATTTTGACCTTGTCTAAAGTCTAAGCAGATTACAACATGAAAACTAGTTTTGAAAAGGTAAGACTTTACAAGCATACAAGCATAAAGCCATTTCAATCAACAATTGAAAAGACAACATCACAAACAAAGCGAATGGCTTAACAATGAGGACAACCATTCCTGTACTCACTACAAGGTGATGAGATGAAATGAAGAGTAATATCCTGATTGGTCACTGTCACTGCCGAATTTAAAGGCCAACAGCTGGACTACTAGCAAATAGTCCAAAGGACAAGAGACTGCTTCATACTAGTGATACTCAGCGCGACAATATATTTATATACCTTTTCAAAACTTGCAAAATGTATTAAATTAAGCTCACTGGGGACTGATTTTGCGTTATTTTAATGATATTGGCTTCTGGAGCATCATTGTTATGCAATTAGTAGCTCATAAACAAAATGCAGTGCCATTAAAAAATTAGGGACAGTGTTTTCGCTTTTATTAATTAAACATCGTATTAAAATTCATCCATGAGAAATAACATTAAACATTTAAAACGCTCATACAAAATTTCATAGTTTATTTTAGGGTACTAAGGAGTTGATATAGCATATCTTTTCTACTTCTAACGTCGAAAAATTATGAATGATGGTGTACTGAACTGACTAAACGCCGAATGGATTCCTCGTATAGAATAAATGTTATTTCAAATGGGAAATAAAAATTTAAGACATTATTATACAGTCTCTCTCGAACCATATCTGTAGAGTGCAAATACTAGACAAATGTGTAATCACTAGTTTAGTGGCAGTGAATCTACTGAATGTAACAAATTATTTTGTATTGAAATTACATCTGTCATACAATATGTAAGAGAAGTCTTGGTCACAAAATGTGTAATGTCCCTTATAAAAGTTTTGACTCAAATTCGTTTAGTCATATGAGATCAATGCTTTGAACCTTTTTGCCTAGTTTCCTCGTGAAATTATTTAAATGAGGGACATTTATCAACTTGTGTAGTTTAAATTCATATTAAAAACATGTTTAATACATGGTGGAATACAAATAGAGAGTATGAATAATTGAACACGACCTCGAACCATCGAAGGCTGAGATTATACGGTAGTTGTCGAAAATGTGCGTATTATTACAATATCATTTAAATTTAAAGGATCAAGTTACGTAATTGGACTTTCATGGTTTAGAAAGGCCTCGCAAGAGCTTTCAGCTGATTTTAGCATAGTTTTAAGTGGAACTTTTGGCATAATGTGACGTCAGACTTCACCTACACGTTGTTTGGTGGAAAATCTTGAAATTTCTTAAATGAGTTGTGGAACATACCTGTTGCTGCCAAAAATAGATAGGGAGGTTGTTGACCCGAGCTTCTGAACGGTTACGCGGCTGTTGCATCCACATCATATCGCCAGACGAAGTCGGGCCCTGGCCCCAAAGCGATTCCACCTAAAATAAAATTAAAATTTAAAAAATGCGAAATAAAATGTTATGGCGACTTCCTGAAGAATTCGGAGTCGATTTAAATTAAGAATTTAAAAATTATATAAAACTATTGTTATTTATTAGGCAGTGTCGGATAAATATGATTGTGCTATATAATGTCTGCGTTCTTTAGTTATTTTCCTAAGAACTTTTAGAGCCAATCTGAGTCTAAACTATGTATCCTTCAACGTTTCACCATTCAACGCACTTTGTCACCCAAATTTTTTTTAAACTTTTAATTAATATTTAGATTCGATATCAACCATAATTATTTGACACTGGTAAAAAAGTGGGACATAGAAGCCCGTTTTGAGTTCACAGCAAGACTAGTAGTAACACATAAATTAACAAAGAGAACGAAATAATAAAAATAATAATTTCATAAATATAATTATTTTAAGTGCCTAGTTATTTGGTGACAAATAAATGTCTTATTTCATCATTGTCGCCTAACTTGGACAACACTTTTATTTAGTATTATTTGTTGTTTTTCATTATTATGAATTTACGGCATGTTTTTTAAAAAATACAAAAGACTCCCGTTTTTAGTAAGTAATAATTATCAGCCTATTGATCCACTACTGAGATAGACCTTCTAATCTCAAGCATTAGTCAAAACGCTAGTGGAATGGCGATTTCAAACCTTCTTCATGTGAGATGAGATCTTTGCTCAACAGTGATGGATGACCTTTACTGATCATTATACACTGCTCAGTTATTTTACAGAAAGCAAAAGCGGACTTACAAAATATTTAAGAATTGTGTATTTGTATTTTAAGGTAACCCCAATAGTTTTATTCTGAAAAACGTAATGAACCGAGTCCTTCTCAATATGCCGTTACAAATCGGTTAAAAATGTACTGTGTAAAGTGCACTTTTACATTTTTCGCATCGATTAAAAGATAAGCAAGTAACATGTATAGTATTACTGAGTTTCGTTATATTTATATATTGTGCTTTTGTTGGGCTGTGATATAACTTGTTCCTAACGTATAAATTCAAATTAGTCACACCGATTGCGTTCGCTTTTAAAATAACTCATTGACGTTATTACACTAAAGAAAACGCAAAATCAAACGCTGCAACCAATACGCCCCAATTTATCACGGATCATTGTTTTTATGTAATTTTTAAACAAAATGTCATTGTTAGTCACTAGGTTGTGTTTACATTACACTGTGTTTGTTATCACTATTGGCCGCCCCAGATACCAAAATGTTTCGTTGAAATATATTCTTTGTAGAAATACGGCAATGAGGTGTCATAGATACCTCATTGACAAGACTCAAGGTAAGACGTCTATGCAGTAACTACCTAAATTTAGAATCAATACCAAATTCTAAAGTAAAATATTAACATTAAAGGGTTCTTGCAAAAAAAAAATGCGTATTCCTAATCCCACATTGAATTCATCATTTGCCTAATTAATAGACCCGTAAACGAATCATAAGATTAATACAACTTGTACGTCACGCCGACGACATATAATAACTAACTAGCCGTAAAGAAATTTATGCAAAACCGCAAAACAAGAATTAGTATAAAAAAATAAAAAGAAATGAAACAAAAATAAATTCTCTTATTTAAAGAATCTACATTACTATTACCATTTGCGGTTGGGCATAATTTTGGCTTGCCAATAGTCCTACAGATCCAAATTGCAAATCCATGGGAGCGCTATCGGGTAAATTCATAGAACCCATATTCATGACCTAGAAATCAAGAAAACCTTATTACAAAAAGGTATTCATCACTTTCACTACAACTTTGAACTACCCATAAATGGACTACTGCTACTATCTACTGATATCAAATGTACGCGTTAGTAAGAAATGTTAGGGGTTGCAGTACAAAGTTACTTACATCCAAACCCAGTGACTGCGAGTTCAACAAATTGTCGTGTGACGCTTGTGGACGATCAAATCCACTGGACATTGGAAACTGTGACATCACATCCTGTAATTGGAATTAAGGTTTTTATTAAATTAATAATAAAAAATAAGGACAGACTTTAACTTTGATTAACTTCATACAATGCAATTTGATAAGAAGCTTATATTTGATGATGGTAATGAGGGTACTCTCTCTATCTCTACGGCTGGCTCTGTAGAGGCAGAATTGTGGATTATAAATCAAGTCCTAAAATGCCTTGGTAGTAGTTAGAGTGGAGGTTAAAAATTAATTATTGAAAGATAATTACAATACCATTCTAGAAGATTGACTTTAAACCGGTGTGTGCTTAAGATGGTTTTAATTAATGACAACATAGATAAGAACTTACCATCTGAGCAAATGGTACGACTGGTCCATAGGTACCTAATGGTCTCATCATGGTTTCACAAGCTCGGCGCACCATCAAACTGGGACTAAAGAAACCGGCTTTGTACCAGTTGTACATATCTTTCGAAGAGAATGGACCCTGGATGTTCCTCTGCAAACAAACAAAATAAATATTTTGATTGGTTTATTTGTAGAATGGCATTTCTATAATGTTGGTTTCTAAATACAATATTCATACTACTTTACCTCAGGATCTTCATAATACCATTGGTCCATTAAGCTGGTCCCTGGCATCGGATTGTTTGCGTAAATGGAATTGCCGAATGGATTCTGAGATCCTTGCATTCCTAAGTTCATCATCATATTATTTTGTCCTGAATGATTTGACATTGGCATGTCACTCGCTGCAGACATCTGTAAAATTATAGGGAATATACATAAAACTTTAATTAGTGTCAAATATGTTTCTTATAACAGGTAATATCTTTACATTATGACTAAGGAATATGTTTTGGTTGTTTGAGAAATGGTATCAGACATTTTTAATTACAAACCATAAATTAACGATTGAAATAAAGAATTACAAAATGCTTCACCTTTGACCAGAAAAAATTGAAGATCATTGTCAACATTTTCGACAAATGTCTTATGCACTTTGAAAACTATTAGACCCTTAATATTATTTGCTTTATATATTATAACAAGGCTATAAATTGTAAATTAAATATGAACATAGAATGTGGATATTCACTATTTAATACTAATTATTATTTGCACTTTCATTCTATGAAATACAAGACGATTTTATAAAAGAACATAATAGTAGAATACAACTTACTGATGGGTTATTGGAATTTTGTGACATGAACAAAGACGAATTTCCTACATTGTTAGAAATACCGCCCATATTAGCGCTGGATGGGAACCCGGGCATATTACTTCCACTCTGCATTGATGATGATCCAAGTACTCCGATACCGGGTGACCCCAAAGTAGAATTATTTTGTATAACTTGCTGTGGCATGCCTTGATATGGTTGACCAATGTTCGGACCAATTGGCAGGCCCAATGAGGCATTCAGGGCAGAATTGGTTATGCCTACATTTTGCATGACTGGCTGCATTCCTGGAGTTTGCACCCGTGGTGCTTGCATACCGGGCATGTTCTGCATGCCACCTGATGACATTCCCGCCATATTTTGCAATGAGCCTGAGGGCATGCCTGGCATATTTTGTAAGGGTGATGGATATGCGGCATTTTGCATAGCGACAGGCATTCCAGCCATGTGTAAACCACCCTGCATGCCTGAAGGCATCCCTGGTTGCATACTACTGGCGTTCATTACAACGGGCGGGTGGTGCACCGGTGGTGATTGTAAGTTCTGACTGTTCATATGCATGTCCATACTCATGCCATGGTTTGGCAGCGCAGTATTAGACATACCCATTGCCATATTTTGATTTGGCATTGACGTTGATATACCCGAGTTGGAAAATGAGTTCGACGTTTGTGAGGAATGCAGTTCTTTATCGTCAAGTGTCATACCAAATATGTTATCCACAAGCAATTCTTCAGCAGATTTGAGCGAGTTGAGATCCCTAAAAATTAAAAACAAAGATTTACTTTGTGCTATTAGTAGCAAGGAATTTTCTAATTATGTCTTTATTTACAAATACATGAATTTTATTTTAAGTTAGAGTTAATGGGTTACTCACATATCCTGATTAGGTTTCAGTGGTCCTTTCATGTTATGTATTTGCCCGGAGCCCTCTTTCATAGAGGGCACAAGATGTTGATGTTTCTGACGCAGACTGTTGTTAGAATTTATGAGTACAGATTGGAAGTTGCCCCGCTCATCACTTGCTTCCTCTAAATCAATATCAGACCTCATGAGTGCGTCAAATGTTTTACTCTCTGTAAACTTATCAGATGAGAAAGCACTATCGTTTCCATATTGATTTTCACCTTGGTTTGTGTTGTTGGTCTCCGCTTCTTCCTCCTCTTCTTGTGGTTCAGCTTCCAACTTTTCTGGTATCTCCTGGAGGTCATCATTCGCATCCGGCTTGTTAGTTCCACTGGCACTGGAACCATCGGTTGTTCCAGTACCAGCCTGCTGGAAAATCATTTAGGTACTATGAAAACCTGTTTCAATTTTATAATGAAATTGACGTGACGAAAACTCATTACATTAAATACCTTTTTAAATTTGAGATCGCTAGCGTCAAAACGTTTTGGTGACAATTTTTTAGCCTTTTCTGAAGCCCACCATTCTTCTGAACCTTCTAATATTTTCGATCTCGTTACACCTCCGTGCGTGTGGGACCTTGTTAGTGCTGAAACATTCGCTCAAACATTTGTAAAACTACAAAATTACATTTTATAGGCAAATGTCTTCAAAGTTAGAAAACTTGTAATTATTTAGCATTGTTGTTCCAGGACTGGGTTAAGTGATCTTTAAATGTCTGAACATTGTGGTGTTTACAATAAAATTTACGACAACACTCACGATATGGAGGATCTTGGTGTTTAGGCAGGTTACTGTCATCATTACTGTATCCGTGAAAGGCTCCCGACGCATCAAATGTGCCTCCACACTCCGCACTCTCAACGGCCCTATTAACCAACAATTTGTCAGAGTTTTTTCAAATAACATTCTGGTATAAAAAATATTATTTTATAATCTCAATTTTACCATTCCGGTAAATTTTCTTCATTATTTTGTGAATCTCCAGCGACCCACGTGCGCCTATTGTTCCATGACTGAGATTTTTCATTGGATGGTCTGTCACCCCAGTCCCTATCTGTAAAACCATTTTTAATTAGAATAACATTTAACAAAATAATTACAAAACTCAAATATTATGAAACATTCACAATTTGACGAAAATAATAACTCAATAGTGTAGTAATTTTACTGTACCCCATTTCTCAAGTGGACGAGATCTCCCCGGCTCCGAGGAACGCCATTCTTCTCCGTCATCTCGGCTGGTCGATTGCGTCTGTCGCCAATTGGTGTTATTTCCTTGCCTTTTGCTGAAACAGAACAAACAATTAACGTTATTAAATTACAAAAAAGAATCATTGTAAAAACCTTTCTTTTTCATTTACTTTTCAGTGTTGTTCAGTTCAGTAAAAGAAATTCCATTCGGTTGTGTGATTCGCATTCTGTTGATATTAGATATATATTATTAATGATTGATAGAAAATAAAGTAACATACGTCCTGTACATTTTCGTCGACCAGTCCGTTTGATCTCCACTATTTCTGTTACTGATGTTCAGGCTATTATTAACCCATGGACGAGTACTGGGGCCAACGTCTTCATCCACGCCGACACTGTAGCCCGGCATCCTCGGGCCAACGTGCCACATACCTCCTCCCCTAGAACCAACATAACATTACGACATTAAGCTTCGGACTTTTTGAACCTTAAATTTGATTGATTGAGTTTTAAATAATAATAATGAGGTGACTGTTGTACTGATTTCTGAAATGATTGATGATGAATATAGATAAAACTTATACTATATGTAACTATATAGATAAAAAATGAATTTAGGGAAGAGAGCATGCATATAAAAAAATCTAAAGAGGGAATAGATCAATATACCTATCATAATTTTTTTGCTTATAGGGACGATGACTATCATCATTCTTATTGAAATCATTCACAGATTTGATTTTAAGCTTAATGTATTATTTTTTATAAAATTTATAATAAATATTATATTTGATTCAAAATTTAATGACTACCAAAACATGTTGAAATTGATTAATAGTTGTCACCTAGCACTCAAGTATTCCCAGTTAAAGCTATTACCTAATTTGGTAAGTAAACAAGATATCATATTACCTTCCCAAAGATGGCTGACGTATGTAAGAACCGCGGGGCCTGCCGCGTCCGTCACTCATGAGACCTCGACCACGCCCAAGTAGAAATCTGTCCCCAGAAGGGGTTGGATGCCCAATGGGAGGAGCACTCCGCAAGTTATCCCTCTGTAATAAATTAAAATTTATGAAAGATCAGGACTAATATACTGTACAAGTGATTCTTGGTATTTATACTTTTTGATTTTGTTACTCACGACATCATCTTCAAATGTGTTGTTAAGTGCTGCCGGTTGTTTCCCACGTGGTTGATACAAGGTTTCAATGCTTTTCAACTCTGGTGGTGCCTCTGCATTTCTATCATATAGGGCTAGCATTTCCTCCCGGCCATACCTATATCATAAAAAGTATTTAATGAACACAGTCAAACATTGAACATATAGGTATCACATTTATTCACAATATATACAAAAATTTATCACAAAATGTGTTGGTAAGTGCATAACTTAACAACGCCTTGACCAATTTTGCTGATTTATTTTTTTGTTGTGTTTGTTATTGTCAGGAGAAGGTTCTTATCAAAGAAAATATTAAAAAAGTAGAGGGGAAGATTAGAAAAAAGTGACCCTTTGATGGCGAGATAGTTAGACCCGTGCGAAGCGGGGGCCTGCCGCTAAGTTCACAATATTTTGTTATCTTACCTAAGTTTGGCAAGGAGGACTTTTGATGCTGTAGTAGTATTTGTAGATGACGATCCTGCTGAGGCATTAGCTGATGTGGCTCCCACCGGCCCTCCGGAGGAGCCAGCCATTGATGAAGGGCCTGTACTGGGATTCATGCTATGATTGTTGTTGTTGTTAGATCTTGCGCTACGCTCTCTGGATAGGTTACGTAGCCACTCAGGACCAAACTTTATGGGATTGTTTCGGTCACCCATTGTAATCGTTTATGAAGAAACCTATTAGGTTGATCTAAACACCTGCAGTCAGGAACAGCTGAAACAAACAACTAAACTTAAATACCTACAATACAAAGACAGCAGACAATAACCTATACAGTAACACAGTGTCAACTTTAAATTCTTATCAGCATAGATGATATGCAAGAGATTGCACAAAGGTTTAAAGCATAATGGATAGAGTTCAAGGATTGAGAGCACAAAAGGAAAACTCGCAAATGCGCAAAAGGCAAAATACTCTTATTTGATCTTCGCCATTTCAGTGCATAAATACCGTACATAAAAATAACACAACACACGACACATTCTCGTAAATGTTCAATGCAAAGACTAAGCTATGATCGAGTCTTATAATAGGGAGCAACAGGCGAAACAAATGGTTCTGAATGGGTGAGCCATGTGTATAAATACATCTTCGCCATTACATAATATGCATAAAACATAAAATTTTAATAAAACAAATTCACACTACATGAAAGGCTAAACAGTTATTTTTATACCACATGTTTACATCATTGAGTGATTGCAGAATCTCTACAATGACGAATTTCTTTAAGTACTCTTTTCGAGATTTGATTGATGTAATTAGTTTTATTTTAGATTATTCTAATGAGGACACATGTAACCTACTTACAATCCACTACTTTTTACTTATTTTTTAAAGAACAGAACTATGTGTCTGTTGTTGTTTATTTACTATTACAGATAATAGATATTTTATATTGTTATGAATAAAAAATAATGTAGGTTGTTTAACTCATTGATGCATTGCAAAGATGTAATGTATCCACGAAGTCAGAAATTTGATCTGAATCACAGCTTCAGTGCAAGAGAGTCCAATAATAAAATGTTCTTACAAAAGAAAATTACAATACTGGCCCACCAATTGTAATTGTAAATGTGTGAGCTCGGCTGTCCAAGAATGTATTTATGTAATATTTGTTCAAGTTCATTGGAAAGAATTTATACACCAGACATTAGTTAAACAATAGGAAATTGGACACAAGAGAAATAAGTATCACAATAATCATGGATGCTAAAATTATATGACCTACATACAGTTATCTAAAACTGCTTTTTATATTTAATTAATACAAGTCTCTTATTTAGAAATTCACATGATCATAAACACTTCAAAAGTTTTAACAAATATGTTGTAAGTTTGGTAAAGCTAAACTTTGGCCCAAATAGAACTTAATTAAAATCAGAGCAAAAAATTAGATGTCTAATAATCTAGCATTGACATTCTAATTAAATTCTAGTGCTCATGTTGATGCTAATTTTGTAATAAAAAATTTATATGTATTGTTCGCAAAGCTTGAATCCTCAATATTTTTGTCCATTGGATCATGCCATAATTTGATAAGTTTCACGCAAGCAGAGTCAGTATCCTTATTTAATTGTTTATGGTATGGTACTTTTGAATACTAATAAAACCAGCACTTTCTACACAGGGAATTTATTTAATTTTGAGAGGTTAAAGGTGAATGAGCATTACAATCACCTGGCGTTAAATAATCAGTACTGGCCAAGGCAACCTTAATCTATGATTTTCTAAGTAATCATCTAAAACACGTATATTAATGCAATTGCTAAAATAATTCGCAACTATTTCTAAGTTTAGGCCGCCAGCCAAACTTGTTACTGTTTCAAATTATTTCACAACTCTTAGTTAACAATTAATAAGTTATAGTAAAATGATAAAACTCATAATAATTAGTTATTTAAGCTATTTTTTATCAATTTCATCACTTTTAATTAACAAGGTTAGTATTCTGTAAATATACAGATAACACTAAATGTTGTTATTGTAATTTGTTTCACCCACTTTTTCTTTAGAAAGTAATCTTATAATAAAGAAAAAAATATTTTTATCTTCACACACCTCCCTAGTTGCAGAAAAATACAATTTTGACATTACCTTCTTTTTATTAATATAACTAAATTTAGGTATAATGTAACATACAAAATGACTGTTACATTTTAAAAAATGTGACTACCTACAATATTAATAAAAAATTCAGTAGAAACGAGAAAGAGAGAACCCGAGAGATTGAATCTATCACAGGAAGGCTGTTAAACTTATCTTTGATTAAACCTAAGATATATACTGAAATTAGTCTAAACTACAACTGAACATAATGTAAATTGGTGTATTGTTTTGTTTAGGATCCTTGAAAATAACAATCCATTATGTTTACATGTCACATGAATCAGTTTACTTTGGAAATAACTGTAAAGTATCCGTGGATTTCAGTTTTTGTCATATTTACATAACAATACCTAAACTATTAGTTTAAATAATACAATAATGTTAGTATAACTTCATAAATTGAACTATTTGAGTAGAAAACACCACAAAAGTAGAAATTTCATCACACTAGCACTACATTTAATTGTTTCCTTTTTGTTGTGGTTAACTGATACTGGAAATGTACAATAATAGTTAAATAGGTACTAAATTCAGTTAATGACACATACAAAACAAATCAAGTATAATAAACAAAACTTTATAACAGTGATTATGATTATATTTTGTATCACTTGAAACACACATCTCGAAATATTATTCAGGAGGTAGACCAGAAATTAACGAGCACACTATCTTTAAAAAGTTCATTATATTGCACAATGAGTGACTACTCTTTTTAATTCATTTTTAAGTCTGAAAGAGAAAACTTGAATATGGTAAATTACAATGCAAATGTTTTTAGTTAGACATATAAACTTAAACAATAATGGTTTATCGAAGGTACCTAGGTAGCGAGGTATCTACGTAGTTTGGTTCTATTCCGATACTTATAAAATCACAATACAAACGAGGTAGCTTAATCACACCAAATCACAACATTATTAGAATTCTCCTTTTTCTTAGTAACCCATATGCACATCGCGTAGGAAACTCCAACGGATTGAAACGAAACACACAATCCAAGAGTCAAGGTGGCAGGTAGGTAGGAACAGAATTACCATACGTTTTCAATAAAAAGGAATACTTCCGTCATTTAAACATATTTGAATATTATTATAAATGTTGGATCATAACGAAATTGCATCAAGTAAGGAATTAGATTATAATTACCTAAATGCCGAATGATTCAATATCAAACGCACGCACGGGGACAGCAATATGGCGCCGGAGGTAATGTGTGAAGTGAATGAAGTATAAGATTTTTTTAAGATCCATCAAAATGTTGCCATATTCATATCAGCGTGAACATGTTCAGTGTGTAGTTTTTTAGTTAATTAGTAAATTAGTAACATTCTATTCACTTAACACTAAACTATAATTTAGAAAGATAATTATTTAACAAGGTATAAAAGGTCGTAATCACAGCATTGGTTTCCAAATTTTATTTTTTACGTAGGGTTTTGCAAATTACATTTATTCTTTAAAGTATTTAGTGTTACAAAAATATAAATTATTTTTTGATCCTTACTCTACATAACCTATAGCTGTCATTTCAGTACAGTAGTAAGTTAAAGACTACATTCAACTTTTCAATGCATTAAAATCATCATACAACATTCATTGTTTTTATGATATACCTACCTACGAAATTGACAAAATTTTACTAGGTACTAATATTTTTCTAAAAGGTTTGTTAGAAATAAATCTGCTGTTGATGATGAAAAACATCGACTGTGACTCTGTCTTGCCTTGTCTTGTCTGTGCGCCATTATCAATGACACTATATTTTATTATTATTATTTCCACTGTCTACGTTTCCAAACTTCCATAAACCTATTTCATTTACCTGACGATTTTGACAACAATCTACTCGTTGTCAACCCAATGCATTGATTCGTAAAGGATCATCTAGTCGGGGCCCAAGCGTGCGACATTGTAAGGTCCGTGTTAGTTCATGATAGCGCAAAGCGCTAGTGTACATTTGTGGTCGCCATTTTGGTGTTCATGACGACATCGAATGTCAAATTCAAACAGCAAACAAATCAACTGTCAGTGGGTTACTGGGTTATTTGTGTTTATTTTGAGTACAAAGTACAAGTTCTGGTTTTATTTTGTGTAATCCTCGCTATTTCAACTTGAGATACAAATAATCCATATCGTTCTTTGTTAAACACTTTCCTTGTTAAACACTTTTAGATTGTTTTCACCATGGACGTGCGATAGTGCTGTGTCGGAAATTGCACGTCTACGAATCTTACTCATCGCCCTTTCTTCCTTCCAATCGTCGATAATGTAGGAGATTTTTTCCAATTCGAATTTCTATGATATTTTTTGTTATTTTGGTTCCAGTTTTATTTTTAAGACTTCTATTTGTATTTTCTTTAGTTCTATGTGTGCTTAATAGATCGAGCAGTACACTCCAGGGCATCGCATGCTACTTTATAAGGCGCAGGTTCAACCTTAAGGGTTACTATGCTCATCTGGGTAGGGCACCAGCTTCTCCGTCTGGACCACATTCAGCGACGAGCCGTTCGAATCGTTGGCTACCCTGATGTCTCAGTCCGACTAGAATACATGTGGAAAGTAATAAAGTATTGAATATTGAGAATCATTGGCACTGAGTGCATGTAGCCTCGCTATGTGTACTTTATCGCCTGTGCCACGGGGAGTGTTCCGAGGTTTGTTCGGGTTAATACCCGCCTGGTGGCTCAATCTTTTGCCATCGACCCACGCGACGTGACTTGTCATCCCCATCATATTATTATAGATGATTGGCAGTCAACAACTGTGCGATTTTCTCGTAACTTTCTGGCTCGCACAGCAAAACTTTGAAATGATCTTTCGGCGGCGGTATTTCCGAATCGATACGACCTTCAAATCTTCATGAAACGTGCATACTCCATTTTAAAAAGTGGTGTTGCTGGTAATGCGCGTCGCTCATCACTTATCACCAGATGATCAGATTGTGTGACTCCTGGTGACTGACGAATGGTGCAATATTAAATAAAACATTAAGAGGAGACTTGGCCGAAAAATATGTTTTAAAAATGAGTGCTGTACAAGTTAAAGGTTAAAAGCTTTCAATCGTGGTATTTCGAGACACAATAGCTGTAACGCTTGGGGTTTGATGAATTAATAAATACAAAATGCCTTGGTTAAGAAATAAAAATAAACAATCTGAAACTTTCTAATTTTCTTTTATTTTTACGAGCTAAAGTAAAAGAATGATTACCTATAGAAACCTATAGTTTCCGAATAGTCTTATGTCATTAAAATAATCTGTGAGATGCGATACTAGCGCTTTACGCCAAGGAGTGGCAACTAGAAGCAAAATACGAGTGTATCTCTTTGACTAGTTTTTATAGAGCAGTATAATAATATTGATAGGTATTGGATAGTAATATATAAGTAGGCCTAGCCTTTGATATACAATATAGAATGCCGACAACGTTTAGACAGTTCAGCAACCAAGGCTATGGCGTGGTTATACTATCTAGTATTAGGTACCGTGGCTAGGGGACAGATTTGTGAAGCAGGGCAGTCATTCACCACCTAGAGGATGCGGTGGCGATATGCCCTGCCTGGGCTGAGCACCGCCTTGTCCTCAGGGAAGTGATCGGCGGCGGCGGTGTCCTCTCGCGCCCAGCCATAGTCGAGGCCATGGTGCGGAGTGAGAGAAACTGAGACGCCGTCTCCTCCTTCTGTGAAGCAGTTATGCTCGCAAAGAGGGAGGCAGCCCGCGTGAGGGAGCAATCCTCCTCCTCACGCCTCAGCCGCCGCAATAGGCGACATTCCGGGCGTTGGGGATCGAGCGATGATCTCCGGCCACTGTAAGCGCGGGTCTGCGGTCGGCGAGTAAGGGCAGCTCGCTGCCCGACCAGAACCAGGCCCGAGCGTACGGCGCGTAGCGTTCCGCGCGCGCCTCAAAGAGCCAATAGACCACCACAGACGGGGCCCTATAAGGCTGATGTTCAACCGGGGTTGTGGGGTAAGCGCAATGAGGCACCGCGACCTCGGCCCAGAGCAGGAGAAGGAACAGGGGGGGTTTTTAGTCAGTAAGAGTCTGACACTCCCTCCCGCCCGGGCCTGGGCGGGAGAAGTGATCTGATGATTTTCCGCTCACAAAAAAAAACCTGACGGTAAGCGACGATGGACTTTGCCGGACTTTGTCCCTAGACAAAGTTTTCAGATATTTAAGGATCGGTATTGGATGGGCGAGGGGAAGAAATACTGGGCCTTCTGGTTACCTCACCCACAGGGCGAAACAGCGCTATGGTAGTTTTACACCCGTTTTCTGTGAGGCCGTCCGCCCGTGGTATCACTCTAGTCTAGGCAACCCATACGTATGGAAGCAAGACTACCCGACACGAAACCAAAAGTTTGTAGCGACATCTATCGCACAACAATAACAACAGCATCAATCACGTGCACGATTATGAGCTCTCAACGCAATTAGGACCGATACAAAAATCCCGACAACAACCGTCGGGCAGTAGCCCACCAGACATAACACCCGTCTGGTGGGAGGATGCTTTCTTTTCAATGGAGGATGAGGAACTTTCCACCCTGTTCTCTCATACCTCTAAAAGTTTTAAATAATAATCATAATTACTTATATTAGGTGTGTTTGTTTTTGTCTATGTAATTACAATGAACAAAATAAAAAAATCGAAAGGTAGACAGTCATGTCAGTCATGGACGAAATACTTTACAAAAAGTCCAAAGACCAATAATTTGAATAAATAAGCAATATTATTTATTTTGTAAATTCAGGTAATTATATATAAAAACGGAACGCAAAATGTGTTGGTAAGCGCATAACTCAACAACACCTATACCCACCAATTTTGCCGATTCTTTTTTTGTTGTGTTTGTTATTGTCAGGAGAAAGTTGTTATCAAAGAAAATACCTATTAGAAAAGATTAGGAAAAAGTGACCCTTTGATAGCGAGATAGTTGGACCCGCGCGAAGCGGGGGCGGGCCGCTAGTTTTATAATTAAGTACTTTCAACAGCCTGTCCAGAGAGTTTTAACCATTTTAATGCTGCTAAATTGTTACATAGGTACTTATGAAGGATATACAAAAAAGATTTTTGAATTTTACATAAATCTATAAAAAAAAGTTTTTGATCTTAATATCTATTTATTTATTTTACACTTCTTGCACAATGTACAATAGCGAACTTAACGCCTTAGGCGCTCTCTGCCAGTCTACCTTTTGGTGGTGGAGAAATAGAGTGACAGGTGCATCTCTGTTAGACATTACCTAACAAAGAAAAACAACAAAACTATCGCTCAAACATAAATATCAATATAATACAAACATATACATGTGTAGCATTGATATATATTATACATACCTATACAAATACAATGTGAACTCACGCTTCGCTGATGTTCCGCGAGTGCTGGTCCGATTAGGAGTCCGATACTACTGCAGAGCTCGACATTGATGTTATGATATTCCAGAGAAAAAAAAAAAAAGAAAATAAACTACTGTAGAGATTCTGCAAATTTTCTCCGGATGTGATCTCGTACTTAGTTTCAGTTGGAAAGTGTGCCTACTATTTACCACCCTGACCTCTTAAGGTACCTCATTCCAGAGAAGAATTGATGATTAATCCAGGTCATGTTAGGTACTAGAACTACTTAAATAAAACACTAACGTCACAACAATCGCAAAAAATGCATTGTAGGCTTTACAGCCACAATGCACGGACCGGGATCGTGTTATACTTATTATTGCCCGGTTCCTATATTCAACGAATCGTCGTTGTATACGCATTACGACCAAATGACATTACGAATAGTTATCTTGACCGTCTACTGACGGTTAAAATATTTATAGCTCGTGATTTATAGGAAAACCACAGACACTATAGTTCTCCATACAATTCGCTTACCGATATCCGTTAGTTGCAAACCGTCAGTAAGTTGCACGACGAGACGTTTATTAAAGGAACGGTTTTAGCTTACGAGTCGTATATAAAACTACTATTCGTAATTAAAACGGATCGTTTCTCAATTATAGGAACCGGGAATTATATCAACTAATAGAGACGTCCGGCGGGTTATATTACGGGGCGGATCGTGCAATAAACGTCCGGTTTCAAACATTTGGGTAAGTATCGGAACTTAGACAGCGTCTAATCAAAATCCCGACGTTATACTCACTCCTTTTAAATGACTACCATCACAATCATCCATAGCAGTGTAAGAATGAACCAGTATGGGACCTAAGTCTAGTTGTCAAAATAAATAGGTCATCTACGCGTCATTGAGTCCTTAA